AGAGGAAGAGGAAGAGGAGGAAGAGGAAGAGGAGGAGGAAGAGGAGGAGGAAGGTGCTGGAGGCAGCCAGGCAAGGACAGGCTGCAACCAGCAAAGCTCAGGAGGAGAAACCAGGACTTGTGACAGGTCCTTGGCTGAGCCAAGTCCCCACCACGTGGATCTGCTGAAGCTCTGGCACCCCCTGGTCCCCTCCAGGCAGGTGTCACTGCCCTGCTGTGCCCCAGCAAAGGGGCAGGAGGAGGAAAAGGCTCCTTGGGGGAGATCTGAGGGGCTGCACACACAGGAGCATCTTTGGAGGGGCCAAGAAGGAGCAGAGCAGCCCCAGCAAGACACAACCTTCACCCCCAGGGCTGGTGGCAGCCAGAGAAGAGCTGTCACAGGCTCCTTCTGCTCCTGATGCCCAAGGGGGGAGATCCCACCAGGCAGGGCACAGCAGCCTTGATCTCACCCCTCCCCACCAGCAGCAGCTTCAGGCTGCCCCTCCTCGGGGCACCAAGGGGCTGGGAGCACTGGCAGGAGCAGGAGGGGACATTAGGGACCCCAGGAGGGGACATCAGGGACCCCCAGGGATGGAGAGGGCACTGGCAGGAGCAGGAGGGGACATTAGGGACCCCAGGAGGGGACATTAGGGACCCCCAGGAGGGGACATTAGGGACCCCCAGTGATGGACAGGGCACTGGCAGGAGCAGGAGGGGACATTAGAGACCCCCAGTGATGGACAGGGCTCTGGCAGGAGCAGGAGTGGACATTAGGGACCCCAGGAGGGGACATTAGGGACCCCCAGGGATGGAGAGGGCACTGGCAGGAGCAGGAGGGGACATTAGGGACCCCAGGAGGGGACATTAGGGACCCCCAGGGATGGAGAGGGCACTGGCAGGAGCAGGAGGGGACATTAGGGACCCCAGGAGGGGACATTAGGGACCCCCAGGAGTGGACAGGGCACTGGCAGGAGCAGGAGGGGACCTTAGGGACCCCAGGAGGGGACATTAGGGACCCCCAGTGATGGACAGGGCACTGGCAGGAGCAGGAGGGGACCTTAGGGACCCCAGGAGGGGACATTAGGGACCCCCAGGAGGGGACATTAGGGACCCCCAGTGATGGACAGGGCACTGGCAGGAGCAGGAGGGGACATTAGAGACCCCCAGGGGTGGAGAGGGCACCGGCAGGAGCAGGAGTGGACATTAGGGACCCCAGGAGGGGACATTAGGGAACCCCAGGCCCAGGGATGGAGAGGGCACTGGCAGGAGCAGGAGGGGACATTAGGGACCCCAGGAGGGGACATTAGGGACCCCCAGGAGGGGACATTAGGGACCCCCAGTGATGGACAGGGCACTGGCAGGAGCAGGAGGGGACATTAGGGACCCCAGGAGAGGACATTAGGGACCCCAGGAGGGGACATCAGGGACCCCCAGGGATGGAGAGGGACCCAGGGATGGCAGCACAGAGCCCAGGGGGAAGGCACTGGAAAGGGGGGGGGTTGTGCTCTGGGAATCTCTCTCCCTCATTTGTTTCAGTCTATTTTAAAAACAAACTGGGCAGCAGCGGAAGAGCAGGAGTGGGAGGGAACGTGTGTGCTGGGGGGGAGGGAGGCAGGGAAGGGCCAAAAAAACAACCCCT